TCAGCTTCGAACCATTCTTGTTGGAAGTAAAATAGGTTAGCATTATAAGACCATTATGCACAAGCACATTTTTTCGTAAAAAATTGTAACGCACTTATATGTTTATGGAACGAGAAAATTATATACCTAAACTCGAGCGTTGTTGCTTGAGTGATATTGTACATTGTGTCCCTTTAAACCATATATCGAGCACGTCATTTTCACCTGTCCTTTTTTCTTGACGTATAACTTTTTCTGACAATGCACTATCATTTCTTTTGCCTGTTTTCATCCTTTTTTGTTTCTTTCCCCATTGTGGTACAGTCCATATCAGCTTGATGATTCTCAACGCATCCACTTCAGGCTACAACATTCTACCATTGATTGAATTCAAGATATTATTGTAACAATTCATGTACGTCTCAATTGTGTAATAATTATCAATAAAATCCTTTGACTGATTCCAACAATCTCATATCACAGCCATAGCATGCACACATGGTAGACCCGTGAGCTCCCATTTCTTGCATGCACATGTACGCTGTCCTATAATTGTAGTCAACCAGTCATCTTGGGCCCTCGAGAAGTGCAACGTGCATTCTCTTGACATCTCGAAGATCTTGTGTAGTTTTTTTGTAATACTTTTGCATAAACGACATTGGCATTGCCTCATCTTTTCTCGTCTCTTCTGAATCCATGTCATGAATATCATTTGCACTGAAGTCAACATATTTAGAATCAGTTTCTCTATATTGTCAAGCAACATTTTAGTTAAGAACTTCACACTCGTTGTTTAATAAAATGTTGCACTTCCAATGGATTGAAAAGTGTGATCGACTCCACTCCTAAGAGTGTCTCTTTATCAGCCACCTATATGCACCTTCATTTACTTTACAAAATTTTTTTCCATCCAAAGTTTGTATTCGACAATAGTTGTTGACTTTGCGGCATGCCAAACAAAATCCTTTTGAATTTTGCTTTTATATCTGGCGTTGAAGCAGTTTGTATACATATGTCATATACAGAAGCAATGTTCTGCCTCCTGAAATAACTCCTCACAACTTGAAGACTCTTTTACCTGTCAGTCATCAATATCCACTCCTTACCATTGCTAATTTCAATGTTCTCTTGGAGGTAACTCATGAACCATCTCCACGTCTATGCGTTCTCCTTCTGTACAATAGGATATATGACGGGGTTAAATACAGTCATTATCATCATGTCCCACTACGACTAACATAATTTCCCCAAAACAACCACGCAAATGGCACAACACCGACCAATTTTCTATATCCAAGCTTAAAACTGGCTCTACAAGCACTAAAGCATACGTAGATACCTTGGAAAACTTGCTCATGCCGGGCTATCATCACAATTGATCCTGAATTCGTTCAAAGTATCCCTGTAACATATCTTCTCAATAGCCTAAACTGTTCTTCAATTGTTCCAATCAACAATTCCTTAGCATATTGTCGATTCTTGTTTGCCATATTTCTATTCATCTCCCTCTTCAAATCATCATTCATGGTCGCCAAAATTAACTTTATAGTCTAATCAGGATCTACCTTGAACTATTCAATGTATCTATTTGTTAAGAATATGTAGTTGAAATGTCTGTTGGATTTGCTATGTGTGCATGTATGTCGGGCGTATGTGATTTCACTTGCACTTTCTCCGTTGTACTCATCTTCAAGCAACGGTGGAACTAGCACCTGATGAGGTGGCGTGATCATGTGTGTGGGTTTCGCTGGAATTTACAGCGGCCAGCACTTGTTCTGTCATCTGCTCTCTCCGCTGGGTAGTGAATTGGGAAAGATGAAGTTATGGTTGGGCCAATTTCTTTTGTATGGGCTAATTTTCTTTTGTTTGAGAATGAGCCTTTTTGTTTTATAAAAATGGGAAAGAATGGGCTTTTTTTTTTTAAAATGCGGCCCATTAATAAAAGATAAACCAAACTCCTTTCGAAAGTCAGCATCTCTATCTGTAGCAACTCTTTGCACACCACACACCACGAGCCTTGCTGCCCTTTTCTTCTCTTTCAATTTGCTTCCCCACACACGAAGATTGTTGTCAAAAAATGCTGCCACATGAGAGGACATCGTTGGAACACATCACGAGTGGCATTATGATGATGCCACCAGTGATGTCCTGACACAACCTGACTCGACTTTGCATTATCATCAAACTATGATACAACACCAATGTTAAGCTACTCTTACCCTGTATAACTAATAAATTCCATACCCCCGGACTCTTCCACCACTTTTTCTTTCAGTTTTTACCTTTCATTAAAGAATTTGGTGTAACTTTTCAGAGTTTTTCCAAAATAGTGTCAAAATACCGGGAGATTTTACCACCCAATGCACACCTTGTCACCAATACTTTTCCCCTTTGCTTCCAGGTTGGTAATTGGTAATTTCTTTTGTTTTTTTCTCTTATTTCTTGGTATAATTTTTTTTCATGAAAAAATATGTTATTGACAAATTTATGCTTGTGTTGATTTTCATTGTGAAGGATGTGAATACCCTTTGCCAAGTTCCTGATCATCAGGTTAGTTGATTAATAAAGATTATTGATTTTTTTAGGTTTTTTTGTATTTTCCTATTGTTGGCGATTCAATAATGATTTATCTTTGATTGCCTTGTTTATGGAATGTTGGTGGTATTTTAAGAGGTATTTGTGAAACTAACATGTTTCACCTTATTATTTCTTAAATGATAAAAAAAATAAAATAAAAATTGTACCTTTTGCACTTTAGGGTCTGTAAAGAGATTGATTTTACCAATAATTTGATTTTTTTAGTTTAGAAAATTAGATTAATTGCAATTGAACTAGTTGACTAGCTATGGTTAGCATCATATGCAATTGGAGCTTGGGTTTTACATGGTTGTGAAATGTTGTTATCATTTAAATGTTAAATTAGTGAATTTGTGTGATAAATAATATTATGTGCTTTTTTTTTAATTATTATTTTGGGTTGTATTGAATTATATTTTATATGTATATGATTTGTACGTTTTAGTATATTTACATATAGATTAGAGAATTTTTAATATTAATTAATTAATTAATAAATGATATCGTTATTACGATTGTTGACTGTCAATGGTCAACAACTGCTCTAACTTGCCTCCGTTCCTACACCCGCCATTGTCTTTGAGGCCCACATCCTCCAATTGCACCCCAATTTGCAAACTCCTTGAGCTCGCTATCTATCGTTAACATTTCAACTTCACATTATAACCATTTAGAGTACCATATGCTCTCACTGCATTTTGAAACTCTTGCATTGACCGAAAGAGTTGTCTGATCTCAAACTGTGGATTTTGTGTATCTATCTCAGCTAAAAATTCTAGAAAGCGATAACCAACCTCTTCGTCCAATGAACAATCCAATAATAACTCCTCAGATGATGGACATTCCAAATCATCGTCACCCACATCTCCTATAAGCATCACTATTCTTTTATTTCCCGCTTCATTAATTTTCGATCCAACTTCAATTCCATCTGTTACATTGTGGTTGTACAACAAATCATCTTCCTCAGAACCATGTCGACCTCGTAATGAACGAAATTAGGGCCTTCCTCATAATCTATCAACAAATGAAAATAATGGAATGATTTATTAAATGTATAAGATATGAAATTTGACATGAGATTGTGTAAATCATAAACTCAATAAACCAATTATACATTTAAAAAACTCAATATTGTTAATAACAGTGCAAACCCACATTTCAATAAGCCAATGGAATACTGCTGCTTCTTCTCTAAGAATAGCAATCAACTAACAAGGAGATAATATAGATTCAAACGTCTACATCAAATACTTTATTAATTAGCAAATTTACCTAATTTTATTGCATTGATTTATTTGTTAACACTAACATTTTTCTTACAATGGAAATTGACGAATAAATAAACATTATTATTCTAACTTAGTGAGAAAGGCAGCCAACTACATTCCACACACTTACTGATTTTTGTTCCTCAACCACGTATACCATCATTGCAGTTTATAAACCTTTTTTGTGACTTACTCGTAATTTGAAATACGAGTTAGATGGTTTCATGTTTTATATATGATTTGAGGTAAAATCATTGTAAATCAAACATGTTGAATGATATATCGCCGTCTGCTCTATCCATGTGTACGAATTGACACCCCTTCAGATGTGGTTGGGCTTCACAGATTTTTGTCATTGATTTCATCCTTAGTTGATGTTGCGGAGTTCAAGGGAAGAAATTTTCTCAAATTGATTTCTAGATTTTTTTGAGGTTTGGGAGGGAATTAATATGGTTTTGGGAGATTAGGGCTCGTTGATTTGAAGGTGGGTTTTCAATTTTACGGTGAAATCGTGTTTTCCATGTAACAACTCTTCACATGGCAACATTGTCACGCCATCTCTCGCCACGTTGGAGTTCGTCTAGCCACATGGGATGCATATGAAATGGGTGTGTGCATAGTGATGGATGGAGTGGATTTTTAGTAAGTTGAGTGACCATTCATGGTAAAAATAAAGTTCAATGGTTATAACATGACAGTAAACAAAGTTCACTAAGAGTGTGTTTGATTGACATGGAAAATATCACATAGAAAAGAAAATATTTTTCATTTTTTGTGAAAAATAAAAACCACCTCTACTCAAAGAAAATATTTTCCTTAAAAACAAGGAAAATTAGACATATTTTCAAAAGTTGGAAAATGTTTTCCATAGAAAAAAATAGCAATCAAACACTCCAAGTAGGAATTTGAATGGAAAATTGATATTTTTCATGAAAAATAAATGTAATCAAACACACTCTAAGTATTCAAACATTTTACTCCTATTTTGTACAAAAATAAATGGCAATGAATTATCATTTTTTCAGCTTAACATTTGAAAAGGGCCTTTTAGAAAATTCCTCCAAGGGCAGGGCTAACCTAATTGCTAAAGGCCCAATAAAGAGTTTGGGCCATAACAAAATTAATCCCCTGGTTAAACCATTTTAAGGCTAGTACAAGGAGTCTGCCCAACTATATAAATACCAATTATCTATCCATTCAGCCTTCCGCAGTGCTGAATTAGGGTTTTTTGCGGGACGCTCTTTCATCTGCGTACTCTCTTCCTCTTTTCCGATGGTAATTCGCCTCATATCTTTATATCAGATACGCATTTCTAGGATATAAATTACTTTGATTATTGATTATGAATCTGTTTCGAGGCAGTAGATTTTATTATGTTTAGATTTCTTTTACACGTTTATTATTGGGAATGCGTATCTTGAGATTAATGTTAACCTGGATATATATTTCAAGAAATGTTGTGTAATTCGGTGCTCATGTTTGTTTAATTATGAGAGTTTGAATTAATGAGAAATAAATAAGAAAAGAACTTGATATATATTACTTCATGACTATAATTGTAATCCTGGAAAAATGAAAACTTTGGAGAGGATTTAAATATGAACTTGTTTTTCATTTCCTTCGTTTTGAGAGGAATTAATTTATCAAGGAAAATTATTCCAGTTGTGGTTCATTTTTTTGGCCTTTTATGTTTTTTTCCTGAACCATGTGATGTTCAATCTAGTCAGCTGCTTTAGCATTGATGTACGTACACCCAACTATATTGAAAGTTCTATATCATTTGATTTTTACAGCAATTTTTTATCTGTGCAGGCCAAAAGAACCAAGAAGGTCGGCATTGTAGGGAAATACGGTATGTGCTAATGTGTTCATTACTTTGTATTTACATGCTCCTTTTCTCTCTGCCATCCTGTTCGTGTGAATATGGCATAATTGAAAGGAAAGATAGCTAGGGGATTTGAAAGGTAAAGGTGATCTCTGTTTGCACTAATTCACCTACATGACAATTTTTTGTCAAACAAGTGATGTTCCACTTTATGAGCTTGTAGTTCAGAATTTTTATATTCCAACAGTAGTTCACACTTTTCTGCATTTGGGTGACGTGAGTAGTAGCTCTCTAGCTTGCTGTTTACTACCTCCGTCCCATAGATATAGGCTCGTTTCTATTTTCGCATAGATTAAGAAAATATAATTAATATTGTTGTAAATATAACTATTTTTACATTTTTCCTAATATACCCCTATAGTACATAATGGTTTAAATAGAATTAGTTTATATTCGTTGATAACAAGATACATTAAATAGTGTCAAATTAGAAAATTAAAAAATATCTATAATTTCAGTAGGGAAAGTGGCCTATAATTTGGGATAGATACAAAAGGAAACCAAGCCTATCTTTATGGGATGGAGGTAGTATTTTATATTTTTATTTTCTAAATTGCATTTTGTAACATTTCAGGCACCCGTTATGGTGCTAGTTTGAGGAAGCAGATTAAGAAGATGGAAGTTAGTCAGCACAGCAAGTATTTCTGTGAGTTCTGTGGGAAGGTATGATTCAACTTTTCATCTCTTTGTGTTTATCTAGTATTTGTTGTTGCCGTCAGTGTGTTCTCGAATGCTACCTCATTTTTTTTCTATTTTGCTGCAGTATGCCGTAAAGAGGAAGGCCGTGGGAATTTGGGGCTGCAAGGATTGTGGCAAAGTCAAAGCTGGCGGTGCTTACACGTTGAAGTAAATACGTATCTTTGTTTTGCTCCATGTGCATAGTTAAAAGCATATCAAAAAAGCGTTACATGTGTTTTCTTTTTCTTTCTTTCTTTTTTTGACAGCACTGCTAGTGCTGTGACTGTTAGGAGCACCATCCGGAGGCTGAGGGAGCAGACCGAGAGTTAAGCGTACTGAATTTTGCTGCGGCATTACTTGTTGTCGTATTCAACTTTAAAGTTTCAATTCAATAAGTTTAGACTTGGATTCTTAGTAGTGGCAAATTTCTGTATTTTTTTTTTTTTTTAAATCGTAAAACTCCACAAAGCTACATGGTCTTTGCATGTTTGCCCTTAAAATTTGATTCTTCCGAGTATTTTGTAATGCTGGAGGTATTTATAAAATTGGTTTTTGCCCGTTAGTTGTATTTTTTTTTTTTTCTCCTGAGTGCTTCACTGTCATTGTTGAATTACGTTACAATAGGCTCCACTAGATTTTCTGCAGAGTTGCAATGGCTGTAGCAAGTATTCAAGATTGAATTTTCCATCACACGACCTCGAAAATTATGCCTTTGAGTTTGATTTACACTCGGTATCCTTGTGAGTTTTTGTTTAGTGGTGGAAAAAAGAATAGGAACCAGCGAATTTTGATTTCGGCTCCAGAATTGAGAATCGAACCTTAATAAAAAAAAAAAAAAATTTAAATGGAGCCAATTTTTTTTTTTTTAATACAAATTACACAACAAAATATCTAATTTAACTAAAGCCTTAAGGTTTAGAATCATTAATATTATCCCCAAGCTTCAAATTCAATCCCTTGTTCTTCTAATTTTCTCCTTTTCCATCAACCAAAAACCAACGTCAATTTTCAGTGATGGCAAAAAAAAATCCATCTGAACGGGCCCTCGCCCCGAATGAGGCCCAAAAAACTTGCCTCTACAGGTATGTCCCGTCCCGTTGTCATTCCTACCAATTTTGTCAACTACAGCCTTTCTTTGTGGCCAATATCAGCCGGCTTTGAAGTAAAAGTGTACATGGGATTTGTATATAATCCGTTTGTGAATTCAATTTGTATTTATAAATTAAAATTTGATTTTGGTTTGGTTCTTTTATTACATATGTTATCAAAAGTTCCATTACAAAAATAAATAAAAATAAGAAAAATCATTGGTTCTGTTTTGTTCAAATCTTTTGAAAACATAATCAAATCAAATCACATCTTCGTTTGATTCAACTAACCAAGAAAAGTGGTAGTTTAAGTATAATCCAAATCTTAATTTTACAGTTCACCCTAAATTCCACAATATCACCTGAATTCATCTCACTTTCTGTTTTTATCTTCCAACATTAATTGTACATTTCATTTAATAACACTTAGAGTGTGTTTGATTGGCATGAAGAATATTGTCTAGAAAAGAAAATATTTTACTTTTATTGAAGAAAATAAAAATCTACTCTCCTCAAAGAAAATATTTTCCTTAAAAACAAGAAAAATTAAATATATTTTCAAAAGTTGGAAAATATTTTCAGTGGAAAAAATAACAATCAAACATTTAAACTATAAGGGTGAAAAATTGATATTTTTATTGAAAATGAATGTAATCAAACAAAACCTTAGTGCTACCTAGACTAATGTTGTACCATCGGTGGTGCTAAATAACATTGTCCTTTTCTAAATCGAATACCTAAACTGAAAAATCCCTTCATCTCTATTGATTTCATCTTGCACCTCAAGTTTTGCAAGATATAGTCAATAATTGAGTTTTTGGTGGAATAATGTGTAAATTGACAATCTCCTGCAACATGCAGGTACAAATCTAAATGTATTGAATTTTGCACAATATTTTCCATTGGCCATTAAATTTAAATTTTATTCAAACGATCATCAAACTTATCATATCATTATCACATTGGTCATTAAACTTTAAAAGTTTTTTCAAATGGTCACTGAACTTATCGAATCATTACCTAATCCCTCACTCAAAAACACAACTTCAGAAAATTTGACGGACTCATTGACGTGGAAACGGTCGTTGACATAGCATCTTATTGTTGTTAATTGACGACAGACCAATAAAAAATGTGCTTATAAAAATGCGATAAACTGAAAAAAAGTAACCAAAAAATGAAAATAAACAAAAGAAAAATAAGCAATGATTAAAATTCAATCGTTTTTCTTATAAACGATTTTATTGTGTTGTTTGTTATGTAGCTGTATGATTATCTTCAAACTGTTACCAGACGCCTAAGTATTATAAACATACAGCTTTTTCTAAATTTATTAGAGTTTGGTTTTTGATATTTTCAAATACTTCTCAAATTATTTTTTTTATTCTCAAATGACTCGTTTTAGAGTCCATCTGAGTGGATCAATTCCCTATTTTTCAGAAGCTTATTATTTTACAAAGTCAATTTTAACCATGCATTCTTTCAATAAAATAATTCTGCACGTAACAAGACTTTTCCTTACTTTGTAATAACACGTTCTTCAAAAAATGAAAATAACAAAACTCATTTTCACTATAAAAAAAAAGTAGGGCTCAAACATTGTTTTCAAACACACTTTAAATTCAAAGTGGAAGTTCCTAAGCGAATATCAACAATCGCTTGTTCAAATTCTATATATTCATCAAGAATATTTTCGAATGGAATATTTACATTTTGTAAACTAACATATAAGTCTAGAGAACATAAGGATCAAACAATTCCCAAACTTTTCATTTGACTCCCATATACCATTTCGAATTATGACACAATTCCACCCGTAAGTATAAGAGGTTTGTCAAGAAATGGTATTGAAGCATTGATACCTGCAGGTAGGGAAGCTAATAAGACTTTAAAATAGCATCTTTAACACGACTCTCCAAAAGCTTGCTTTCAAACACTTTAAATTTATTTATTTCCATTATTTAAATTGACTAAATGTTAATTTGTACCATCACATTTATTATTAATATAATAGGATAATTGGAAAAGAACAAACAATCTATTTTAAATGATAGAATCTTAATATTCATATATAATGCTGGCCAATAATTATGCACACGCGAAATAGAGTAACATTTCAAACAGTAACAAAACTTACATATGCTCTGTTGATTTCAGAGAAATTTTTAACGACAAATTTGCCTGAAAGACAAACCAGAATCACCTTTTCATCAATTTCGACAAATGAATAGCTGTCGTTCTTTTCCTGGCTAGTTACAACATCGTGAAAGCCTAAGGAGAACCAGTTACAGGCAGAAAAATTGAGAGGACATGGTGCGATTGGAAACTTCATCAAGGCTTGTGAATCTTGAAGCCAAATACTCGTGGGACATAGCTCTGTGTCGGTTTTTGTTGCTTGAGGTGTCCGTAAGTCATCAAGAAGAGATGAGGGAATGTGGTTCCGAAATAAGCTCCATCAATATCTTAAGGGAATCAAGGAAAGCATTCAAAAGTGTAATTTACTGACAAATTGATCCATACCTGTCGTGGCTTAGTGCATCATCTAAGAAATATACCAATTTTTTTGTCAATCAACATTCCAGAAATATAGCATTCCACAAGCAATCTTTACAAGATACAATGTTAGGAATAAGGAAAGTGCAATACTCAATGAGAAAGAGAAACTTGCAAAAATCAGGCTAATGAGAATGGCTAAAATAGTACAGAACTTAAAATGACTCAGGTCGGCACAATGAAAGGTCAAAAGGCGAGCGACAAATGTTGGATAGAAATAGAGTTATATATTCAGTCAAGTATGGAGTGATTGAGTACCAGTCGAGTCATGATGCTAATTTAAAAAGAATCACAGATGGTGTTTTGCCTTTGTCAAGCATCAATTTTTTCCCACCCCTCAAAAAATAAGTATTTAAAACTTGTTTCCCTTCTAGCTCATAAGTCCTTAGATGGGGGTGGTGCATACATTTTGTGTGCATGTTAGTTTGTATCCATGCGCATAGCATTAATGCTCCCTATCAAACAAGGCAGCAAAAGAAACAGAAGATAAAAGTCTAGAAATGCAATTATGATACAAGGATACTGCCTTGGTACTTGGATCGAGGGTAGTAAATATCTTCGCACTTGGGACAGAACAACTTCACAGTACTTGAACGTGGAATGTCTGATTGTCCAACTGGAAGGCAAGGCTGTCCAGAGCAGTATACCCTTGGGCATCTTCCAAAATCGTAATTTTTATATTTCTCTAACTGTAGCAGTTCCATCTCAAGAAGTTAAATGAGATAACTGAAAAAAACAAGAAGGCCACTGAAAAAATTAATACGCTTCTAATGTTACCATTGCAGCCATTCCCTTGCTCGTCAAAATATATCGAACGTGAATAAGGCCATACAGCATCTCTGCAGCTGATTCAATCAGTTCATTCTGTTCCTCGGTAAACATGTCGCCTATGTGACCATAATAGAGAAAACATTATCTCCAAAATCATAAAACTTGGGATTAAAAGTGGGAGATGTAGATAGGTCAACGACAACTAACATATAAAATTCTAGTAAAGAAGAAAAGAATTGGGAATGGAAATAATATCATGTGTGCAATAGAACCCTTCGTTAATAAATCAGGCAATGCCATAAAGCGCCTAGAATTAGTGACAGCAAATAAAGCCTGAAATTATTGCAACCTGTAGTTGTACTGACTGTTCGCATTGGTTAACTCCACAGCCAGAAAAAAATTATGGGCCAGCTTGGGATTTGATTTTATATGGTATTACAGCTTAGAATAGGATCTTTTGAAACCCTATATAGAGGGTCTTATATGATCCAATTCAAACAACTCAGATGATGAAATAAACTTGATATTCTCCCCCTATATTATTCTCTCTTTTTCCCTCCTTTCTCCTCTTATGCTCCCCCTTTCCCCTTCTCCTATAGCATACAACATCATTATGATTACAACACATTCACCATTAATAAGATTACACCAAAGCTTCATGCAGAACCTGAAAAATGTATGATCATGAAAAGAGAGTGTAAATCTTTTCGAAAATTACAAGCAATCTCCTAGATATCATATTGAACTAAGTCTCAGATTAGTTATCTTTCCCCATCTTCCAAATTTAATTAAGACCATAATTAAGCAACTGAGGAAAAACCATTGAAAGATAATGCTTCTGGTAAAAGTACAACTATATTGCTTAAAAGGATATACCTATTTTTTATTTTTCATTTTTACTTGGGGCCAATGGTCCAATCTCCAAAAAAGCCTTTATTAATTACAATAGAAACCAACCATCTTGTAACTTAAAGAGTACCTAACAGCTTTGTCGTTTAATCTCCTCATCCCACACCACCAAAAGAAAAAAAGGAAACAGACGCTAACATGTACACTGAATAAAAACATGATAAAATCAGCCAAACTCATTTCTACAGCATTATTATACAACAATTAAATTAGTCATCAACTTGTTCCCTCTAATTACAAAATCGCTTGCTAACCAAATTTGAAAAGTTCATCTACCTCGAATTTCATCCATTCCCTTCGTATGTGTGAAGAGACACTGTGTTTTTGGTTTTACAGATTTTATAGTCGGATCGAACTGTTTTTTGATTAATTACGTAAGTTGGCAAAAAGTAAGAGCTTTTTTATTTTAAATAGCAAAATTATGAAACTTAGAGCTGCAGCCAAGTTAAATGGTGTCAAAAAAGAACTACAGCTGCAAAAGCAAAATCAACCCAAGAATTTTCCTTTAAGCAGCCAGAAAAATGTCTAAACATGCTAAAAAGCTTACCATGGGAGGATTCAACATCCAGAATAAGGTCAAGTGCATAATCAAAATATGGAACTTGACTGCTCAACCCACAGAGGTTGAAATCATCTTGAATATATTCATCGTCAACTTCGCAAAATAACTCATTTCCCCGCAAGTTGCAAAACCATGAAATCCAGGATGTATCATCCCCGTCTGAACCACTAACATCAGATTCTTCACTATCTGTTTCAGATTCATCTGGAAAAGAGGTTAACGTCAGCATTACAATCAGATTTCCCTTGCTCAAAACATATGCAGACATCCATGTTATTCACCACTCCAACATACATGCATACACAGTCAGAACCATCAATATTGCAATATAAATTACCAAGCCTATGTTTGGCCCCCATTTTCTCAAAAACTCATTTTTTCAAAACTTATTTTCAACCACACGTTTTCCCATAAGATAATCTTACATGTAAATCGAAAACTTCTCCTTTTTAGCCGCATATTCTCAAAAAAAATCACTATCCCATAATACATTTGCTTACCAAAATGGGGCTTAAACAGGGGCTAATGTCTATCTACAAACATAATTATTTACGCATATTCTGGCAAACCCAAAGAATTATAGCATCATTCATTTATTTTAGTGAAGCAAATACAATAAACATATGAAACCCCATCAACAACATTGCTGATATGACTTGGCATATAGACAACCTTCCATTCATTTGTGAGTAAACAAAAGTTTAATTCACACCGTCATATTATTTCATTTTACTTACTCACAGATGGTAAACCTATGAAGCCAAGGACGGATTTGGGGGGACTAGGCTGGGCTGAAGTCCCCCTCCCCACTCAGGCCCAAGAACCTTTTTTTAAGGTATTTTGGTAAAAAAACCAGATTTTTATGTGTAAATTTTTTTATTATTATTTTTTTCGTGTAGTAGCCCAATTTGAAATATTGTACCCCAGTCTTAGATCCAATCCTGAGTCCGTCCAGGTATGAAACCCCAACAATAACATTGCTGATATGACTTGGCATTTAGACAACCTTCCATTCATTTGTGAGCAAACAATTGTTTAATTCACACCGTCATATTCGTAAACTATTTTAACTACAGACTTCCATATTCTCAACTATTTTCCACAAAATTTCAAAACAGACTGAGCTATAATCAAAAACAAAAAAGCAAAAAGAACTTGCAAATAGATTAAAATACTTCCTTAAATTCCAAATTCACTTCAACCCTAAACTCCCACAAAACTCTAAATCAATTTTCTTTCAGCTCAGGATCTAGAGAACATCATGCAACAGGACACTTTTTACTAAAATAAGTAAAATTTGAAGTATCCATAGGATGAAATTGGTTTTTCAAAAGGATTCTTGACTTTAACAAATAAATCCTTCTCGAAAATTAAATGAAAACTTTTTCAAGATTCCAACGAAAAACATAAATCCATTATCAATCTTCCAATCAGAACAATAATCTAGCTTTTTCACTCCAAAAGGTCAATAGAAATTCCAAAATTTAACCACAAAATCCAATTATAACAAAATCCAATAATAAAAAAAAATCACATACTGTTAGATAACTTGTTCTTGTTGATGGCAAGGGTGGACGAGGAGCGAGTGTCACGCTGATCGAGATGTTTCCCAGCGGCGGAGGGTACAGCGACTGCCGAGGGCTTGTTCCTGGAGGTGGAAGGTGAAGACTTCTCCAAGTGCTTGTCCAACGCATCGTTGATTCGCTTCCGATCCAGCATCTCACCTCCCTTCGATGATCCCCCTCCCACTCGATCTCTATACATATTTATCTAAATTAATATCACTACTTCCTAATATTTGTATGTGGACGAATCAAACCACTATGTATGGGATTTCTGGATTTTCTCTGAAGGATCGAACAACCAAACAAAGCCAGGATTTGCAGAGAGACGGAAAGAACTAGGGTTTCTTCCGATTACATGAAATGAAAGAGGGCTCACTTAAAGTGGAATTTTATTTATTTATTTATTTTTATTTATTTTATTTTTTATTTTTTTTGAGCTTTCATTTCATTGAAGTCAAGAAGTTTTTTAAGCCACTCTTTAGCTTCATTTTTCTTGTATCCATTTTTAGGGTTAGTTTGGTATTGATTATAAAAATTGATTTTTTTTAATAGTAAGTCATCCCTATTAATAAAAAAGTAAAAAATAACTGTTGAAATAATAAAATAACGATAAAAAATTTAATTTTTTGAGGGTAAAAAATTACTATCAAATAAGGGCTTAATCACGCATTCTTGCAATAAAATAATTTTATATATAAATACATATTTATTTTTTAATTTTTATTCTATTTTAAAAAAATATATATTTTTGTTGATTTGACTTAAAAGTCAAAATCTTCTGGAGCATTCGATATTCATTTATCTTAACTTGCCGAATATACTATATTTGTTCTAACATAAATTGCAATTTCTATTTTCATTCACCTTTATATTAGATTTTGTAAATATTTGATGGATGTAATTTTATTTTATTTTATTTTTTGAAATCACGTCGTCCATACTTATATTATGATGTATTATCTAATTTTGGTATTATTTCTCAAATATTCGTTCATTTATACGAAAGTAAGATAGACAATGAACGAGAGCAAAAATGCCTATAATTTGGAATTTCGTACTATTTTACGAAAATTAATCAAATTTTCTTAGAATATAAAGAAATTCAATTTTTGTGATTTTCCTTTATTTGTATATGAATTATACATTATTAAGTTCACGTGTGTGCCATGTCCCACCTCATAATGTTCTTGTTTGTTTCTTTAAGATATTTGCTTATATTCTTGTTTTGTGAGATAATCACAAAAAAATCCGAATTCTTTTTTTTTTCTTTATTATTGTAAAACGGGTATACGAAATAGAATGAATTATTTTTTGGGTCCCAGTTGACATGTGAAAATTATAGAATATATTCGTCGAGTGCACCATGGACTCGTGATAGTTATCTTTATTAGAATAATTCTAGTCAGGGTGTGCAAATCGACGTCCTGTCACGGCCCCTGTCACAATATTCCATCCCTATTTATAATTATAATATTTATAATCAACGATTGTAGTAATTATCATATTGACAACTTGTTATTTGAGACACCAAAATAATGGAAAATTAATATCCCAAATGACAAATTATCACATAGGATAACTATTGCAATCGCTAATTAAACCCTCGTTTAGCCCCCATTTTGTAGAGTTGAAAATGAGTGGACTAGTATTTTTTTTTAAATGAGTGATTGAAAAAAAAAAGAAAAAGTTTTCGATTTACGTGTAATATTATTTTATAGAAAATTGTGTGATTGAAAATAAGAGTGAGAAAAATGTAATATAATAAAAATTAAAGGGAGGCCAAACGAGGGCTAAATTACATTATTCTTTTGAAGGAGACATTAGAAAAAAAGTGAAAAAAAGTAGAGAATCTGATACGATTTGAATATCTAGAGTAATTTTAAAGAATCCAATGCCACTGTTCTTTCCCTTGAGCACTTTGAACACGGAATATATTATTTAGTTGAAATAATTGTCAATTATTTTATATAGAAATTATTTTGTGGTCGAGTCTTTTCTTAACTTGTTATATAAATTAATCAGGATGTAGGCGACATTTTTTATCAGTCGAGCAATGGTAAAATTGTGAAAGATTACAAATTTGTTTGAGCCCATTATAAAGAGAAATTTTGGTTAAATATATTATAGAATAGTATTTTTTGGGAGCATGCATGGTTAAAAAAGAATGAAATTTTTATTTATTTATGTATAATATTATTTTAATGAAGATGTGTGGTTGAAAAAAATAAAGAGAAAAATGGTTGAAAAGAATAAAGAGAAAAATGCATTAAAATTTTAACGATTGTCAAATAAGAGAGAGTTTACCATGATCAATGAATATAAATTTAGATCTACATAAAATCTTGATAGTTTTATTTTTCAAATCGAGCACCCATTGTAAAATTTGCTTACGAAAAATCCCTTTTACCGTTCTAATTTATTATTATTATTATTATTATTATTTTTTTTGGTAAAAACTTTAATAACAGTATAAAATCTAGTTTACATACAACTAATCTTCTCTGTTTTTATCTTGTCAAACATGCCTCTTTGTAGATGATCCACGAATAGACATTTTGCAGAATTGTTAGAGCAACCGAATTAAGAAATGAGAAGACTAATAAAATTTGAAATAAGAAAAACATTGGAAAAATCGCACATCCCCTTTTCGCTCCTGACCTTCAAAATCGTAATTTTCAGTGTGCAACGTGGCGTGTATAATCATTCATGTTTACTATTTCCAATTAACTTTGATGTGTCGCGAATGTCGAATCCGATTAAATTAATGAAAAATGAATTTAAGGTCTCAGTCCGATAATTAAGATCCAAATTCAATAGTTCGAAAATAAGCTCCATGTGTTTGGTTTGATAAATTTCGCTCTACGCTTCTAAGCTTCTCCTTTGTCGAGAGTCAATATGATTCTTCTCTATTGCTTTTAGTGTTTGTAGATGTATTAGTATCACAGGGATCAACGCTGGACTGATTTTCCAACTTTGGGTTCCTTTCATATGATGGACTTAGGTACTTCGCAATATTTTTTGGGCCTTCTGGTGCCTTCATTCTCATCTGGTACTTTCTTGTGACAATATAAGTACACTCAGAAGTTAATTACTTTTAATTACTTTAGCCGGTCTTCAGTATAGTCATATTGTTGGAGGAAATACACGAAAATGGCTCTTCCACTGTAGCAAAATTTGACATCGGCCTTTGACCCATTAAATGAATTAAAAAGAAAACAAAGTTAAAAAAGAAACTTCACAGTAAAATGCCATTTTACCCTTCACACTGTTTGAAAATATCTTACCGACCGACCGACACCGACACCACCGGCAACCACCATAATCTACACCGGAAATGAAATAATCGGTTTGTTTTCATCACTTTTCTCCAGTTAATGCGGTTCATGTGCAAGTTTATAGCATTTTCCTTACTAATTTCGGTTTAATTAGATTCATAGGCATGAGTAGTTAGATTGTGGGCATGTGGGAGTGTGAAAAATGTGAATTTTTAGCTTTTTCTGGAGCTCAGTGGTCGGGAATGGCGATTTCCGGCCACGGTCGGTTAACAATCGGCTTACCCGACTGTTAACAGTCGGGTAAACCGACTGTTAACAGTCTAGGTTAGTCTGGGCCGACCGTTAACTGCCCAGACTGTATATATTTAATTTTAAATTTTTTTATAATTTTTGTAATTAATTAAATTTTTTATTTGATTAAATAGTAATTTTGTTATTTATTTATTTAATTTTTTATCATTGTCAATATAATATAATAATTGAAATATTGTAAAATTGACAATGTTGATTTTTTTTTTTATGAAATTATCTTTAATTTATTTTTTCAAATTTATTTAAATAATATGAATAGTCTTTACATTTTAAAAAAAGGTAAAGTAATTATTTATTTAATTTTTATATTTATCTTTTATATAATTTAATAATGGAAATATTGTAAAATTAACAATGTTTATTCTTTTTTTTTTTTTTATGAAATAATCTTTAATTTATTTTTTCAAATTTATTTAAACAATATGAATAGTCTTTACATTTTAAAAAAAGGTAAAGTAATTGTTTATTTAATTTTTATATTTATCTTTTATATAATTTAATAATTGAAATATTGTAAAATTAACAATGTTGATTCTTTTTTTTTATGAAATAATCTTTAATTTATTTTTTCAAATTTATTTAAATAATATAAATGGACTTTACATTTTTTGAAAAAATGTAAAGTAATTATTTATTTAATTTTTATATTTGTCTTTTATATAATTTAATAATTGAAATATTCTAAAATTAACAATTTTGTGTTGTTCCTTTTTTTTTATGAAATAATCTTTAATTTATTTTTTCAAATTTATTTTTTCAAATTTATTTAAATAATATAAATAGTCTTTACATTTTTTAAAAATGTATTTAATTTGAAATTTTTTGTTTGTAAATATATTTTCCTAATAATAATTATTTTAGTTAATTATTTAATTTTTATAATTTCCTTTTTTATATAATTTAATAATTGAAAACATAATATTGTTCAAAATTAACAATTTATTTTGTTCCTTTTATTGTTCTTTTATGAAAATCTTTGATTTTTTTTCAATTTATTTAAATAATATTTATATTCTTTAATTTTTTTGACAATACATTTAATTTGATTTGTTTTTTTTGTAAATATATTTTTCAAATGTAATATTTGTGATTGTATGGTAGTTAGAGTTCAGTTCTCTTGATTTTGTGAGATTATGCTTTCTTTTGTTATCTCTTGTTCAATGCTATAACATTTGAATTTTTGCAGGATGGAGTATCATTTAGATGCAGAGTTGAGACGGATGTCGGGGAAAGCTAGTTGAAACAGTAGCTTTGAGAGTTTTACTGCTGTGTTGGAGCTGCTCGATGATCAGCACGGAGATATGCTACGACAGTCTTTCGTGTGGCCACTGTACCAGTTGCGAGAGGTGCAGTACTTAGGACAGATTATTGATGCACTCTATGTCGGCTTCTGAGGCCAGTCGACGGCGATTCCCTCCAGTTCGACCTCGGGGGCAAGGTCGTCAGTTTCTCGATGTTTGAGTTTACATTGATCATTGGACTGAGGATTACGGGCGATGATGCAGCCATGGATAGAAGCAATAGGCTGTACGAGACGTACTTTCAGGGACATGGGTCGGTGCTTCTACCCGACTTGATGGTCGCGATCAGGTGGTGCGACCATATGCTAGATAGATTGAAGCTTGGGCTGGTCTACATCCTCGAGAATGTGATGAGGTGTCATCACAAGAAGACTGCCATCGACATTTTTCATTTGCAAGTTGTTGACGACATCGATGCGTTCAACAACTATCCGTGGGGCCGAAGATGCTACGAAGACACCGTACATGTGTTCACCAGATCGCACTCGAGGCCCAGGGGGTCGAT